TCTACATTCTGCTGGATTGGAGCAGGATCCACAAAAACCGAAGAAAAGAAATCAGCAAACAATGAGCATACTCCGACACCATCGCCGACAACAGTTCCATTCCATGACATCGTAGAAGGAATGACATCCGCACGCTTCTTAGACTTAGTAAAAGCCCAAAACACCTTTGGATCAGATTGCATATTACTTTCAGCTCTTCTAACATACTCCATGTAATTGTGATGGATTAGATACTTTGCACGACTCCTTAGAATTGAAAAAGTGAGGTAGTCAAGTCGGTTTCTAAACCGCTTCCATCTACTACTCCTTTTCTCTCGAATTACTTTAATGGTACTGTATGAAAACCAACTGGGAAAACCCTTGATAGCTTTGCGTTTTAAAGGGACAAATTCGCGAATAGCAGTATTAACAAAGTTATAAAAAATTTGAACAGCGTCATTGATATCACGGCCAGCGAGCTCTGATTCCCAGTCAATTGCATTAAAGTACTCATTCAATTCAGGAAACCGGGCTTTTCTAAAACAAAAAGCATTACCATGATGTATAGATAATGAACGAGTAAATGAAATTGAGCAGGAAAACTTTAGAGTGGAGTGCGCACTGTCCTCAGGAAGCAATGGATCACTACAAAGAGACAATTGATGTACATCGGCAGAATTCGTAATAACAAGATCAAGTGTGTTTACATAAGAATTTTTATGATAATTTAGTTGGTTAAGTCCGCAAAGGGAAAGAACATGCAGAAATTCACTAGAGCGGGCGCTGACGGTTCCGGAATCCAGGTCAAGTGACCAGTTTAATTCAGGCAAATTAAAGTCTCCACAAATTATAAAACGATCATTAGGTTTACTTTCGATAGATGTGATTAAATAGTTTGAAAAATTCTTTACATTTTAAGAAGCAACTTCTTTTAATTACATGATATTGAGAATTCCTTTATTATGATATAATTAATGAACCATAAATTGAGATATAACAAAAATTCTTCAATTAAAACTGATAACACTTTTTTATTTTCTTTTGATTTTTTTATGAAATTTAGTATTGGTGGGATCTTTTGGGGTGCTGATTACGAATCTGGGATCAAAATTAAAAACTTTTCAAAAATCAAGATGGCTATAGATATCCGGGGAATTTTTGAGATCATTAATATATTACATGGTTCTGTAGTCATCTAACATGCACTTGTTCCAATAGGGCAGCTTTCAGAGAAGGTACAGGTCTTCGCAAAGAAAACTCCCAACCTCGCGTACTTAAGGGAATCCACTTTTGACGTACCATTGCCCAAAATTTCGGATATAAAGAACATACCCTTCTGTTCTATATTAATGTTCATTACAACATTGGGCTGGTTTTCTGACCTCTGAATGAACTGTAAATTGTGGGGATATACAAAGGAGCCGTTGGGGCTTAAGTTCTGTGAAGGAATCTATGAGGCGATTCAGAGCCCAGCACACTAGAGTGTCCTAATCTAGAAAGACTTAGTTCACATGCTTTTACTATCATCGGATCTTGTTATTACAAACCTTAGAACGTTCCAGAAAGTCCCATTGAAGGAACTGAGTCCTGAGTGAAGGAAGCTGATCACGGATTCAGTGGAAGAGGATATGGTTGATGAGCAGAAGTGGAGAAGGATGCTTCGAGCGAATCGGAAGATGAATCTGATTTTAAATTTTTGTAAAAATAATTCTGTATTTTACTAGAAAATAAATTAGCCTCAAAATTCAGTTCTGAGAAGTAAAACCTACTTTTTCCTTCGCATATTTTTTTAAGCTTATTTTAGCTTTCAGCCCTTGTTAAGTCTATAAAATAATTTTGTCCATTACTGTAGACGAGTTTATTCATCGAGTTTCGAGTTGTTCCGTCGCGGCATTGTTGACTGAGCCGCTCTTCCAAGTGGAACATTCCTTCGCTATGGAGACCGAAGTGGATGGAAAATATCGGTCGTTTTTAGTGTGGTGTAAGGAACCACATTGTTATCGTATTCTGTGCGCAATGGATGGGCAATCGTGTTACTTAAGCAAGTTTGAGCGAGGAATGTTTGAGGTTATGCACACTGAGGGTGTATCGTTCTGTGAAATTGCGCGTCGTCTCGAGCGGTCGTTATCGGCAGTGCAACGGGCATGGCGAGAATGGTCTGAGGTAGGACATAGGTACCTACAGCCGCGGCCGGGACGGCCCTGCGCGACCCCAGCACACGAGGATCGCACTCTTGTGCTCAGCGCTTTAGCGTCGTGTGCGTCCTCCTCAAGGCAACTTGGAGCTGTTTGGCCACCGGCAGGGGAAGGCGCACTCACTACGCGAACTGTATGGCGGCGTTTGGTAGATAGTGGACTGCGTGCGCGTCGTGCGATACAGCGGATTCTAGTAACACCCGAGCACCGCAGCATACGTCACGAGTGGGTCGACGCTAGGCATTAGTAGGTTGCCGAGTAGAGGGACACTTTGTGTTCCGACGAATCAAGATTCGAATTGAGCACCGGTGATGCGCAAATTTTAGTTGGTGATCGTCTACTCGAGCAGTACGTGCAAGAATGCCCTATCCACCGACAACCGAGCATTATGGTATGGGGTGCTATTACACATGGTGGACGTACACGTCTGCTGCGTGTATAGCAGACCATGACGGGTCAACGATACGTAGATGAGGTGATACGGTCCGTTGTGCTTCCCTACGTTCGGCGGCGCCCAGGTCTGCTATACATGCACGACAACGTCCGAACGCACATCGGATGTATTGTACAGACGTTTGTGGAAGAGCACCGTATACGAATGCTTCCTAGGCCAGCTCGTTTTCCGGATCTGAATCCAATCGAACATGTTTGGGACATCTCTGGTCGGAGACTTCTACGTTATCCGACTTTCTCGGCTAACGTTGAGGAGCTATGGAGGCGAGTTGAGGTGGCATGGTTAGCCATCCCTCTCGCTACAATGCAGCGACTTATAGACTCGATGCCACGTCGTGTAGCGATGGTACGCGAAGTTCACGGGGGATACTCTCGCTATTGATGTTTCTCCTCCCAGCAGAGTTGTGCCGCTCTCCATGTGAGAGTAAGTTACACTACTTTAGTACTACTTCCATACCAAATTTTATTGCGCTAGACACACGCGTTCCAACAGTGTAGTTTTAAATATTGTTTATTTATAAAAAATGATTATACTATACTGTGTTAATCAACAACAAGTACAAAATTTATAATAGATATTCAAATATTTTCTCACCCACTTCAATACATTTATTAACCTTCTACTAAAACTTCCTTTACATCTTAAAAGGTTTTCTTGGCTACTATTTCTGCATTCATTTCTTATCCGCTCTTTCATGTTTTCTGGCGTAGTCGGTACTTTGCGATAAACATTATCCTTAAGAACGCCCCACAAAAAAAATTAAGAGGTGTTAAATCAGGTAATCTGACAGGCCAGGAAATTCGACCTCCCCTTCCAATCCATCGCCCAGCATAATCCCGATCTAAAGCTTCACGTGCAATATGTGAAAAATGTGCTGGACACCTATCATTTTGCAGCCACATTTTTGTCTTTCTTCCCTGCTCAAATCTACAAGTAACGTTGGTAAGACGTCATCTAAAAAATATCGGTACTTTTCCCCATTCAGCATACCATCAATAAAGTACAGTTGTAAAAGGTACATCTCGAAGGCGTATTTCGATCAGGAAAAAGTTCTCGATACAAAGCTATACTATCAGCAACTTTTCTGCCACTTTCTCCATAAATAAAAATCATTTCGACTTTTCTGCCACATTTAGAGTATCCAAGATTTAATCACTTAATTTAAACACTTTGCTTAATGTAAACCGATGGAATGAATTCAGAATTTGTTGCTAAGCAGTTTTTATGCAAATTTAGTTTTACCTGTTATATTTTAAAACAATTCAACCAATTAAGTCTCTGAAAGCGATATTCTGAAAATGCCGACATAAGCGGTTCCACGAACTCTTGTGTCTTATTCTATTATCAAATTGACAAAGGCGGAGATACGTTGGAACCTTTTAGACCTCTTTCCAAAGGTATTTCCAACGAGTCAGGTTATCCGATGTACCTCTTCTGGATTTTTTAATGTTGAGCATGCTTAAATAGTATTCTAAGAATTAAGAAGTAAACACAATGTATGGAAGCGGGTAGGAAAATGTTTAAAAATTCATCAATCTTATTTGTTCTCGCTAGATTATAAACGTTAGTTAATTGTTTCTGAAGAAATTTCAATTTTTTTCAAAAGATGTTTTGCCGTTGTACTGGCCACACAGTAATTTTTTTAAAAAATTGGCCGTGACCTTCATACAGGGTGTCCCACCTAAGTTGCCTCGATTCATAGCCGAATTATGATTGAGTTTTTCAAAAAATGTTCCAGATAAAAGTTGAATCGAATCATATTGTACATATTTTAAAATTAGTTTCAGTAATGGCGGACTTGGCAAGACGACCCAAATAGGACAATTAAATGGAGAAAACTATTACAATTGGAAGTTCCGGATGGAAATAATTCTAGAAGAACAAGGGGTTCTACAAATGGTCAAAACAGTAATTGATCAGTCTAAGTTGAATGAAACAGAAAAGAAAAACGACTGCAAAGCGAAGTCGCTTTTCGCAAAGTGTAGCGGATAGCCAGTTGGAACACTTGCGAGAAAAGGAAACAGCATATGAAATGTGGAAGGCATTGGAAGAATGTTTTCAAAAGAAAGGTTTGCCAGGGCAAATGTTTCTCAAGAACAAAATGTTGGCAATGAAACTGAAAGAGGGCGAATGCCTAAATAAATTTATAAATCAATTTGAAGAAGTGTTAAGACAATTAAAATCAAGTGGAGCCGTATTGAAACATGAAGATATAATTTGTAATTTATTGATGGCGTTACCCACATCGTTTGCAACAATTGCTACGGTTATTGAAAATTTATCATCCGAAGAATTAAAATATGATTTTGTGAAATCGAAACTATTATTGGAATATGAAAAACAAAAAATAATAAATAATAAAAATAATTTTGAGAACAGTACAGGAAATAACCAGATGGCATTTATCGCGGATAAATCATGTTACAAATGTGGGAAGCGGGGACATTTTAAAAAGGATTGTTGGTATAATAAAGGAAGGAGCAGTTCCGAGATACGAGGTTCAAACACAGGATACTTCAGGAATCAACGAGGCAGATATATTCGTGGGCAAGCACCTGGAAGGTACTCAAGAGGAAGAGGTTAT